CAATGTTTGCTGGCGGATCCGCAACCATAGCTAGCTTGACACTAATACCGGGCACCCCTTCTACTAGTACTACCACCACCACTACTGCTGCACGCTCTTCACTACACTTGACTAACAGCTTAGCTATTGTCTTGATATGAAGCACCGGGTGATGAGTAACCTCTTGGATTATTATTTATAATTATCATCATTATTTTGCTGTTGATCTGTTGTGGTTTTGACAATGAGGATGATTTAACAGTTGACTGCGGATCCGCCTACCCACCGCCTGGGTCTTTCCGCGAGGCTACATGTGTGTTGATGGTGAATGGTGGTGAGAGCTGATGGTGACACCGTTGGCGTAGATGCACTGATATGATGATGCTGATGGTGATGTTGATGGTCTTTTTTTTTGTACTTGTTAAGGTGTGCTGGTGGCCTCTTGTTGCGCTTGTGTTTGTGATTCACACCTTTAAACTTAGAGCGGTAGGGTATAGAGTAGTTAGTCGTATCTATAAAGTATTTGTCAACCACTGATAACCCTTGACCCCTTTCTTTATGTTAACTTTCTCCTCGGTGCCACAACGTAACTGGCACTGCTTTGTAGGTGGATAAATATTTTGTGGAAGTGGATTAGGTTGTGGAACCGCACGAGTGGATTATTTTTTTGTCTTAATGCACACTCCTCCTTTGTTCTAATTTAGGAACAATTACTTTTCTTTAATATATAAATATTTAACTATACATTTTCTCTGATTTCTGACAAATCATGTTTAAGCTTAAAATCGTCAGTTTAGTTTTGCTTGTAAGATAACATTTAAGCAAGCGGATATATCTTAATAGAGGGCATCTATAGGCATTTAAGAAATTAAACACACATCTTTTTTCATTATAACATTTACAGGCTTTACTAGGAAACTTACGAAAAATCGAAATTGTACTGAATTCAAATCTAGATAAGGGCAATTGCTTGTATGCCATAATCTGATCATGTAACTAACGAGCCGCGGCAGCACAAGGCTGTCGCAATGAGTCTGTCTCCCGGGCCATGTACTGTTACCGCAATCAGCAGAGCAAATCTAGGCGTGCTCCATCCTCCTTCACGGTGCTTTTCAATCCTCCACCCCTACCCATGCTAGCCTCAGCAAAGCTAGCCCCCCAAAGCCTCCTTCCAGATTATGGGCGCGGATTCCAGCCCAAGTTGACTCGCGAGGGGCCTATGTTCTCTGTAATCTGGATGTAAACAGCTGGGAGTAGCATTGCTCTGGTGGCAGCCTGTACCTTTCCTATTTTCGCACAGATTTGCTAGGCCCCCGCTGGGCTAGCGCGGTGTTAGATGTACGATAACAAGCACTTTCCATCAGAAAGTTGGCTTGCAACGACGACGACGACGACGACCACAGCAACAGGGCCCTTGGTGCTGGACTCAGCCCTCCTCTACTTCCCCGAGACCCCGTTCCTTCCCTTACACTCGTGCACCACCTCCTTTTGCCCTTCCTTACTATATCCTTTTGTTATTTTTTTTTTAACGTTAGGAATAATTTCTTGTGGAAACAGAAATGACCCGGGAAGCTGCCAGACTCATTCAGTCCTGTTTCCAGTAATTCCTAGCGTGCGAAATGTAGCCAACTTTCTCCATTTAAGGATTAAATTTGCTCCAATTGATATAAAGGTTGGTGGGGAAATTTTAACTAATTAATGCGTCGCGAATGCGGGAAAAATATAATAGGACAACTAATATATTTACCAATATATATTACGATTCTGAAGCGAATTTGCGTTTAGCTATTCTCCTGAAAATATCCAAGCTGCCTGGCACCCAGAATGATCCTCCCGTCACCGTAATAATGATGGGCGAATCTCCCAATCCTCTCCATGTTGTCCTTGTCTCCATTTTTCAAGTCTATGCACTTTGATGATCCTTATAGAAGGCTCTCCTCACCTTGACCTACGAGGCCCTTCTTATCCTCACCCTCTCCCACTTCTCACTGATTCCTGGATACCACATTATCCCCTTTCTTTAAATCCAAGTTAAAGAATCACCCCCCCCCTGTTTCTTAGTCTTTTTATCCTTCTTAATCCGGAAGATTTTAAAGTAGATTTTCTTTATCCTGGTCTTTTGAAGTTCCCAATACGAAGAAATGGTCTATCCTGACCCCTCTCGCAAATCTTAATCCTTAGCCTTGAAGCACTACTTTCAGTGAGATGGCATATCCTAATCCTTGCCCCTGAAGCACTGCCTTCAGTGAAATGGCACATCCTAATCCTTGCCCCCCCCCCCTCACCCCTGAAGCTCTCCTCCAAGAGAAGCTCACTTGCACCCATGGAGATTCGCCCCGCCCCCGTGTGGCGCGCGTGTCACGGCAATATGGCAGCAGCATCATCAACGACGGCACCACCACCACCACCATCAGCAGCCAAGATAAGGGCCGACGGCTCTTTGTTGCCTCAGGGACAGGGGCAAGTACACCAGGTAATATACCCTACACTTCCCCCTAAGGCTCCTCCTCCTCCTGTGCTATCACCGTTTTCTCTCCTTCTGAGCTGGTTCTCCTCCATCTTCCCCGTCTAGTCTCTCTTTGGCTTAAGATCTTACGGAAACGGAACAGATTCTGGATGTGTCATGGCAGGTTGGTTCGTAAGTGGGGTAAATCGCACCTTCGAATAATGGGTACATGAGGTAGGCAGAACAATCAGTAGTAATCAAAGATATTGGAGTGGTGTAACTGATGTAATCTGTCGGGTGCTCCCATGTTTGGCCCCCATTACCGCAATTTGTGTGGTGAATCTCCGTTCCTTACCCCCATACCCTCAATTCCTTGTAATCCTTCCCATTCCATATTTCAATCTTTTTAACTTTACTGCACCACTAACTGGATAAGATCGTTTGACTCTAACATCTCCTCTTGGGGGGGAAAGGCCTCTTAATAGGCTGCTTTTGACAATCTGTGATGACCTTTCCACCAATCACATTCGAGCAGCTGTTACCAGCTGCTAAGTTTGTGTTTGTTTGGCAATCCCGCATCGAGAGACGAAGCCAGTCATATTGCAGTGCCTTTTTAAGCAAGTGGATATGTGCCAGTGTCAAACCTCTTTACTATCCGGCTGTGAGTGGAGGATCGCAAAGACCTGCTTCTGGGGGGATTCGCCAGGACCCTCGAGTGGCATCGCGTAGAAGAGGCCAGCGGTTAACAACAGCAACGAGAATAGTAGAAGCCAAGCACCTGTGGTGGGGGAACATGATATATATATATCTATTTTTTATATCTCTCTTTGTGCCCCCTGTCTCTCTGCCTTATTCCCTACCACTCCTGTACCTCTTCTGACCCATCTGTCCTTCAGGGAAAAAAAAAAGTTAGTTTTTTTGCGGAAGTGGAACCAAGTGTGGATTCGCTAATGACAGATTATCAAATTAGTATCGGTACCTTGTCTATTTTGATAATTTAGTTAATGTACAGCAAATTGACTAAATATGAACTATTTAAAGTGCTTGTTTAAGTTATGATTAATGTTTTTAATAATCATGTTCAAGAACATTACCGACGGAATTTTGTTATAAAAAAGTCTTAACAAAAAAGTTTATAAAATACGTGGTGGAAAGAAATGAAATAATTTAAGGAAGAATAATATTGAGCCGTGAGCGTTCGTGGGAGCCAAGAGAACGGTTACAGGTAGGAGTGAGCCTCATGTTTGCTCGGGCGTGCTGAGGGCACTAGGACACTTTTAAGGATTCCTTAAGTCATTTAAGATCCAAGCTTTGGTCTTTGAACGCTTTACACTCTTTGTTCTCACCCACAGTTGTCGTTAATTACAATTTCTGGGATTATAGGTTGTACCCAAATTTTATCATTTCAATATCTTAGTTGAAATTACCGTTTTTCTATATGGGTGGTTATCAGCTGGTTATTGGAGACTGGAAGGGAACTCGTAAGGAACAAGGTACGTCGCACAAGCCCAAGGGGTCACGGGGTCTGTTGTGGGCCGCGCTCTGGCGTCCGGGTTATTATCGTACCTGAGGCAGCGAGGTCCGCTGACGTCAATCCGATAGTCTTCCCTAAACATTATCTTTAACATTGGCTGTGCCTGAGTCATGGAGGGTTTACGGACATCATAAGTTTAGCAGTCTTTGATATTTTGTCGTAAATGGATGACAGTCCTATTTGGTTAAGGTATTTGATAAGAGAAGCGGTAAGAATACTCTTTAAATTAGCGTTCCTCTAAGTACTGACTTTGTCGTATGTTGACAGCTTAAATGTGATCAATAGCCTGCAGAATGCAGAAATAAATGTGAAAATTCCCAAGTAAACTTTTTTTTTTTTTTTTTTTTTTTTTTTTTTTTTTTTTTTTTTTTTTTTTTTTTTTTTTTTTTTTTTTTTTTTTTTAACGTTTCTTCGTGTTCACAGGGAAGGCGATGCCTTCTGCTGGAGTATTAGCATTGTGATATAGTATAAAAGTTGGATTTTTTTTGTTGTAATTTTTTCCTAAATGTTTTTCAATTTTTGTTTTTATTATACTGTTCCATGACTTCATATCTTGACTATCATTCGTATCGGCCATTTAAATTTAATATCTTTAACAAATTTTTTTGGACAATTTGAGTTGAATCTTATTGATTACTTAAAATGTCCTTAAAGAATTCGTAGCTCTTGTACTCAACGCGGGTCGTGATAGATTGTATAATAAATCCTCTTTAGGATTCCTTTCGGTGATACTATAACATGTAAATTATGTAAGGTTATCATGATTTTTCAATCAATACGCAGATATGCCTACAGTTGTATTTGTTCACTTAATCCACTTTTTCTTTCAAATTAAATCGGTTGCCAATAAAAGTCTTCAAGTCTTTCCTATTTCAGACTTCTCTCTATTCTGAGCACGTATAATCTTTCATTTATTTAATCATTGTCTGCTGTAAGCATGTTCTCACTTTAACTTAAGAGGGAGCTTACGAGCTAACCCAACTATGTGGTCAGACCTACGACTCGCGTTTGCTCCTTGCTCGTCTCCTTGTCTTCCACCAGATGGAGGATGACGGCCTCCATGGTAACGATGACACCCGCTGCTTCATCCTCTCCACCCTGGCGGCCCAGCGGACGGCCAGGACGGCGTGTGTTCTCTGTCACCAGGCGCTCCTCGTCTTCGACCGCTACCCTCTACTGGATGGGACCTTCTTCCTCACACCGATCCAGCATGCCAAAGCTGCCATTCCTGTAAGTGTTTTGCCTTCCGTGTGTACTCTCCTAGTTGTGCTTGCAGGGGGTTGAGTTCTGGCTCTTTTGGTCCTGCACCTCAATTGTCAATCCTTATTTATTGTACAGATTACTTATTTGAAGTTACAAAACAAATACTTAAACAAAATACACACACACACACACACACTTTAACTTAAGTGTACTTGCCTGGCACTTTGTAGGACTGAGCTTCAGCTCCTGGACCTTGTCTTTGTCAATTTCTGAAGCAGTGACTCGCCCCATTTGTTTCTTGTTCTTTTTACTTTTAAAATTATGGATGGAGTTATTCTTTGCTATTTCCCATTCTAATTTATTTCAATGGCTCACCAAAAAATCGCATCTTATGGTAGTTCACTGTCAACTTGAATCCTTAAACCTTCAATTGACCGATTAACTAGTTCACAAACTCTTTAGGCTCTTTGATACTTTATTTTTAATCTATATTTACTATTTGTGCCTGCTGCAGAATCGAGCAATTAGCTCTGGGACCCCAAATTTCTAACAGAACAATTTTTTCCTCTGTATACTGTGTGTATTTATCTCTTAACAAAAGCATGTACACACACATCCCCCAGGAAGCAGCCCGTAGCATCTAACTCCTAGGTACTTATTTTCTGCTAGGTGAACAGGGCATCAGGTGAAAGAAACTGCCCACTTGTTTCTGCCTCGGCCGGAATGGAACCCAGGCCCTTCATGTATTTTGCCAAGTTGTTCTATGTCTGCCCTGTCAGATTCCTTGAGCATTTTTTGTGTTAAGATCTTCTGTTTCTTTTATCGTCCAGTGTTCAGGTCCAATTTGTTTTAATCCTAAGCCATAAGTTGTATCTCTTGGTTCCGAGACTAATCTGGTGGTAACCTTTAGATTTTCTCACTTAATTTTGTGCTTGAGATATGGGCAACTCCTTTGTTACATACTCCACAGGGGGTCTTAACATTTAGTGTGTATAGTTTCCTGCATTATTTATTGTTCAGATTTCTGAAGGCAGTCCTTATGTTTGTCAAACTTGCAGCAATGTGCAGCTGATGATATTCAGTTAATGTTATGTTTTGGTCGTTTGTCATATCCTTTTACATTTGGTGCCTTAAATGTTTTCTCTTGGTTTCTGTACTCATCATCACTCAATGTACCAGCATTCAACTTCGGAATAATCTGCTATCTTATAAACTGCAAGAATCTACCATTCTTGCAATTTATCCAGGTCTTCTCGTGTTTTCTCACTAACATCCTGTGTTTATTTTCATTATTCATAAACATTGATATATGAATGAATTTATATTTTGGAGATCTAATATTAGTTAGATAACTTCTATTAGATAACATGCATACAGTTTATAATGTATACCAGTATATTTAAGCTAATACTCTACTTGAAAAGGGAGGGTGTCATTTCTATATTACTATGCTTTTTTTTCTCTATCCAGTTTTTCATCTTGTACGTTTATTTTATCTTGCACGTTTAAAGCACAGTTGTGCATCGTTTCCCAATTTTCCGACACGTTCTAGTCTCGTGTCGGAATTCTGTTTTAGCTAAACCTTCCCTCCCACCCTGTAACTCTTGACCTTTACTTCATTACCTGCTCGGCCCACACACCCTCCCAGGGGTGACTGACATTTGCACCGCATGCCTTACCCTCTCATCCCACCTCACTACCACTTTGGCCTACTGTGCCCCCGTCTTTCCCTCTTAGTGTTCTAGATACTCAATCTTGTCTAGTTCATGAGTCTTGTAAGAGCCTTGTAGTTTGAATTTTGAAAGAAATGTATATCCCAGCCTGTATCTCGCCTTGTGTCTCAGGTTACAAGTACAGTACACAAGTAATTTACATTAACATGATCGGCTTGCCCGAGATGAAGTGAGCCACTCAAAAAAATAGATGCTTGAATCTGTTCTTAAAATCTATTTTCTTTTAATAAATGCTTGGAAGAACATTCTCGACAATGTTAAACTGTTCCTGCACATGGCTGAAAAATGCCATCCGTAGTGCATCTAGTTTGTAGGGTATCTTGTAGGTCAGGGCTGTAAGGGCACCTCAGGATCTCCGAACTGCAGCAGTCATGGAGGCTACTGCCAGGGCTGTAGGGGCACCTCTTTGCAGGCCAAGGTTTTAGGGGCGTTTACATTGAAACGCCCTCATGTGGTGAAGGAGAAATTGCATCATACGATGACCTGAGAGGGTGACTTGAGTCTTGTGTGAAACCCATCACTTGGGCGAAGGATACAATGCACATTATTTTGATTGTTGCCAGAGACGGCCAGTTTATTGTGTACCCCATACATTCAATGAGCGATAGCGCAAATAGGATTACAGAGGGCACAAAAGGTCTTTTTCAGACCTCGACGGAGATTGTTACATTAACCGCTACGTCTATCCTGCACACATTATGATGTCTGCTAGTTAGAACGATTTTTATCATTTCAATGTCTTTGTATTTACAATTAATCATTATACATTAATGGTACTGTATATAGGTCTTTTCGTTAATACATAATAACTGTTTTAGTTATGGTGGTATCACATGATCAGTGAAAAGCTGCCATTTATTATTATTAGTCTTTACGCGATATTGCTTGTCCCTAAATCTTATGTCTTGAGGTTATCTGGAGATAATTTCGGGGCTTAGCATCCCCGTGGCCCGGTCCTCAACCAGGCCTCCTTTTTGTTACATCCCCTTCCCAGGAAGTAACAAGTAGCAGCTGTCTAACTCCCAGGTACCTATTTAGTGCTAGGTAACAGGGAATCAGGATGAAAGAAACTGCCCATTTGTTTCCGCCTCCACCGGGGATTGAACCCGGAACCTCAGGACATTGAATCCGAAGCGCTGTCCACTCAGCTGTTAGCCCCACCCTTAACTCGGCCCCCCTGATATGCAGTAAACATGGATAGAGTGCAAGGATTTCAGATATCATTTGTAATAAGATGGTTTGCCATTTCATGCAACCTGAGTTTAGATTTCTCTCTAAATGGCTCGGTTTTTCTACAATCTAACATGTAATGCTCTATTGTCCACACACTTTACTTCATCTAGATCTGTGTTCTATTCTTCGTGGATGGCCTGTCATCCTGTTGGGTTATAGAACCTGCGTTGATTGACTGTTAACCTAATATAAAAGGTTAAATAGTGTGTGTGTGTGTGTGTGTGTATGCAGTGCTAGAAACTCATTGTTAGGTTAACATAGATTCCCTAAACATTTTGCTTATTAGCTTTACCACAATCTAAGACATTGTACATAATCTGCTGTTAAGAGTAGGGTTCTTAAGACCTGAGAAACGTGTGTACCCACCCTTCCACATCATTGTTACTCAATAAACAAACCTAACTAATCCTATTCTAAACGAAAATAGGAGATACAATGTTGATTATATATAATGGCGTGTGACACACTGATACGTAAATGTTGATGCCAATACAGGTTTTAAATGCAACTACTGTAAGGAGATCTTGTGCATCTTCTGCAGGTTCGCGTAGAGGGTCGGCAGCAGTACCTGGCGGCAGTGTGCATGGGGTGCCTGGAGGGGTGGTCGGTGAGCCTACGGTGTGCCTATTGCTGTGCCCGTTGGAACGGCTCGGCCCTCATCCTAGGCACGATGTACTCCTTCGACATCTTCGCCGCCATGCCCTGCTGCGAAAGTAGGTTAAAAGTAAGTATGAAACATTTTATGGTGGATTTTTTGAGGGAGGCTGGGAGAGTGATTCAAATAGCGTGGGTGAATTTATCAAACTCGCGCGCGCGCGCGCTCACACACACACACACACACACACACACACACACACACACACACACACACACACACACACACACACACACACACACACCACTACACGTGGTGTGTGAAGAAGCACATCAACAAACTGGAAAAGGTGCAAAGACATGCTACTAAGTGGCTCCCAGAACTGAAGGGCAAGAGCTACGAGGAGAGGTTAGAGGCATTAAATATGCCAAAACTAGAAGACAGAAGAAAAAGAGGTGATATGATCACAACATACAAAATAGTAACAGGAATTGATAAAATCGATAGGGAAGATTTCCTGAGACCTGGAACTTTAAGAACAAGAGGTCATAGATATAAACTAGCTAAACACAGATGCCGAAGAAATATAAGAAAATTCACTTTCGCAAACAGAGTGGTAGACGGTTGGAACAAGTGAGGTGAGAAGGTGGAGGCAAAGACCGTCAGTAGTTTCAAAACGTTATATGACAAAGAGTGCTGGGAAGACGGGACACCACGAGCGTAGCTCTCATCCTGTAACTACACTTAGGTAATTACACTTAGGTAATTACACACACACACACACACACCACTACACACACACACACACACACCACTACACACACACACCACTACACACACACACACACACCCCACTACACACACACACCACTACACACACACACACACACACCACTACACACACACACACCACTACACACACACACACCACTACACACACACACACACACACACACCACTACACACACACACACACACCACTACACACACACACACACTGACCACTACACACACACACACTGACCACTACACACACACACACTGACCACTACACACACACACACACACACACACACTGACCACTACACACACACACACTGACCACTACACACACACACACACACCACTACACACACACACACACACCACTACACACACACACACACACCACTACACACACACACACACACCACTACACACACACACACCACTACACACACACACACACACCACTACACACACACACACACACCACTACACACACACACACCACAATACACACACACACACACACACCACTACACACACACACACACACCACTACACACACACACACACACCACTACACACACACACACACCACTACACACACACACACACACACCACTACACACACACACACACACACACTACTACACACACACACACACACCACTACACACACACACACACACCACTACACACACACACACACCACTACACACACACACACACCACTACACACACACACCACTACACACACACCACTACACACACACACACACACACACCACTACACACACACACACACCACTACACACACACACCACTACACACACACACACACACCACTACACACACACCACTACACACACACCACTACACACACACACACCACTACACACACACACACCACTACACACACACACACACCACTACACACACACACACCACTACACACACACACCACTACACACTACACACACACACACAGTACACTACATTAATACAGTTCTTACACTATATTAGCTAATTTATATGTACAGCTGATGGCAGTTTCATTGAAAGTTTAAGTGTCTACAATGTCTTGCTAACCCATCCTGTCTTTCCTTTCAGTGTAGCAAATGTGAGGCTGTGGTAATCCCCCCAGACCAGAGGTTGAGTTTCTTCAGTGACTACAGCAGAACCCATGCGTGTCCCTCCTGTGGCCATGTCGACCACCATTTCGTTAAGCCCTTAAGTTCCTTCATCAGAGATGACAAACAGTCTTGGTAGTCCCAGCGCACCTCCGCCTCCGTCAAGCCAGCGCAGCTCGTGGTATGTATTGTACTGTATACACACAAGTTAGAAATGACATACACCTGTACTGTTCACAATAGGATCATAATTCTACTCGGTACATTTCTCGATATGCAGAAATGATTAAAGTAAAATGTCAAAAGGTCCTTACACAGAACATACTGAAGAGCATGTTCTTGGAAAATTAGTGTTACACATGATAAAAATACCAAGCACAGTACTGTAAGAAAATATTTAGGTTCATAATAAAAGCAGTTTACAATAATCTGAGCTTGAAAATAGTCAAAGCTTAAATAAAATGACTTGTACCTAATGAAGTACAAAAGGAAACTTTAGAAAGAATGGAGGTTTTTAACTAGAATTGTACGAGAATTGAGAGGACTGAGCTACATGTAGATTCAAATGTGGTGGAATGTGTTTTTTCCATGAACAGTGCTATTGAATTGTAGCATGCAGATTAATGCAATGTGGAATTTAAATTCAAGTGAGGTGTGTACAAAATACATATACTGTACAGTATTGTACATAAAGTATATAGGAATATTGAATTATTCATTTATTTTTATTTTATTCATATAAGAAGCCACTAACATGCATAGCGTTTTGGGCAGGTCTGTAATCTAATAGATAATTTTAAGTAATTTGTAGCAAAATTTGAAGAATATTAATAGGTACATTGTAGTAAAATTATAGGAATACTGTATAATGGGTACATTGTAGCATACTTTGAGATTATAGGTCATTGTAGTACTGTACCTATAATAATTCCTTGTGTTGGGGGACAATCAGCCAGTGTTTTTATACACGTTAGACTTGTATCAGTGTACAGTACAGTACTACATAAATAGCATGCTATTTAAATCGGTATACAGAAGATTTTGGCTCATAATACAATAAGTATTTTTTCTTTTGGCCTACAGGGCCAATGGCAGGCGTGAGTGCACCCATAGAACACGACCCTTGAGGCGTTATCGGAGAAGAGTGTGTATAGTGAACTATAGAGGCATCAAGAAGCAAGAAACAGTTAAGTGTTTGTCATCACAGAGCAAGTAATTGTTGAGACATGGGTTGACTGGAGAGAGAAGGAGAGAGCTGCTGTAGTTTTATGGAGGAAGTTTTTGTAGAAAAGTCTCGTCATAAAGGTCATTGGTACAGTCATCATTGAACAGAGATCCTGAAGTCTGTGGTTTACATTCCAGAAGATGATTTTTATTTGTCTGGCATCTGTCAAAGTAGTGGAGAAGGCTTGAAAGGCTGCCAATGAATTGGTTTTTGAAAAGTTAAGATCATGGACATGCTAAGAGTTTGTGGAGGGAGCTAGTGTATGTGCCAGAGATACATCATGAGAGTTGAAATCTGATGAATGTGCCTGGCAATGATGACTGGGATTTTTTTTTTTATTCTGTTGGAAACATAATGTGCTTATTTGTTGGAGGTTGCTTTTTGAATGAATCTGTCTACATACCATCAGGGCTGCTTCCTGCCTGGAATGGATCTAACTGTGTGTCTTGTGCGAGAAGCTTTACACACATTTGAGGCATAAAACAGAAATGCTCTTGTGGGCAATTTGGTGTTTTTGGTGGCCAGTTAAGGTGTCTGGCAGGGAAATATGCACTGACATTGTCAACAAAAACTTGACCCATAAGGATCTTAACCCATAAGGATCGGGAAAGTATCATTTTGCTTTTTTGGGGTCCACCAGAAACTTGTGGATGGATGTAAATACATAGAGATTAGTTGTATTCTAATTGTGTGATCTATTGTGCTGTCTCCAACTTTACTCAGTAAGTCTGAATTTCGATGTTTCAACGTAGACATAGTCCAAGATTCCTTGCTGACATAGATCCAGAGACAAAAACTCAACAACCCTGTTTGAAATTCACAAAAACATTTTAAAAAGAGAAAGATACACAACAGAAATAAAGGTGTGCATGAAAATGGACATAAGAAACTTTGTGAGGATAAGTGGAAGAAATAATGAAGGACAGGAGAAAAGGAAAATGGAGGAATGAAGGACAGAAGTAAATATAGGAAGTATGGACGAGAGGGGAGGAAAGTTGGAGAAAGGACAGTCTACAAAAGGACTTTGGTGAGAGTTTTGAGGTAGAAGTGCAGAGTTAAAAGAACAAAACAAAGGGTTTATTGTGTATGTGAAAGAGAAACTTGAACTTTTCTGCAGGAACTGGATCATGTTGAGAGGCATGAAAGTGGGTACAGGTGTGCAGTTAAAAGGATGGAAAAAAATCATAAAACTCACACTTCTGAGGTGGTAAGATCTTCCTCAAATCCTCAGACGACACAATCCGGGAAGAGTTATTGGATCAATCTGAAAAATGGAATGGCAGGGAAAGTAATGGCTCATTGCAAACCTGGTGGGAGGTCATTAAGAGAAGAGAAGTAAATGAAGGTGATGAAAGAGAAGTAACAGGAGAACGAGAGGGAGAGATGAGGCAAAGGTGCATTAGATGTCAGCGAGGGATACTCGAGGGCTTCAAGACAACTTGGTGTCAGACGTTACAGGGCTATTAAAATTATCAAGATCAATCGTGGCAGCCTGTACAATGACTTTGTGGAGCCTGATTCATGCCACCCCATCACTGAAATCGGCAGACCACCACTCGACAAGTGCATGATCCACTCTGGCCTCCCATGGTTCGCTGCTGTTTTCTGGCCTTCTGTGGTCGGTTGACCACTGGACCGTCGCAGACCACTTGGCACGGTCCTGCTCCTGGTTCTGTGCCCGTCATCTCGGCTCCAAGCTGATGATAGCAGTAACCTCATGGAGGGATAAATGCCTGTAAGTTAGTTCAATGTGCACTCTTTTCTTTGTAATGTAGCTCCTAATGAATATATTTCCTCAAATGACAGTGAATCCGCTTGTATGTAGGGATGAAAATAAGACTTTTTAAAACTCTTCGTATTGAATGTGTAAGGTTTTTTACTAGTAGCTTCAAGATGTACTGTGTGGATGGTTCTGCTTTTGAGCCACTGCATGGAAGGGATAAATTTTGAAAAATCAAAAATCTGTTTTTTTCCATTTGGCTGTAATTGTTATTGTAGGAAGTTTAGTTGTAATTTGTTAGAGTAAAGATTAAAGGGACAGTTGCAGAAGCATTCACACAGTGGCTTCCGTTTATGCAGAGTAAGCTGGGGATGCCGCCTAAGAAGTCGGGTGAGGAAGGTTTGTCACTCCTCAGAATGCATTATTAGAATCTTGACAGAATATTGAGAAGTACTATAGCGAGAAACATGCCTTATTATATAGTCAAAGTAATTCCATAAAACATCTTTGTAGTCTTACCTATTCAGGGATTTAATGTAAGATTTAAGTTATGATTTAGAGTTGGTATTGTCATAAAGAAAACATTTTCCTGAATCAACCAGCTAAAAACCCCTTTTTAAAGGTGGACCAAAATACTGTACAGTAGTGCTATTCCTGTACTGAACAAGTTAACGTGTAGGTACAAGGTAACTAGTAAAGATGCACGTAATACGTTTTGGGAAGGGGTCAGTCAGATGGGAAAGCCCACTTACCATGTTCCTATATAACATGGTGAATCATGGCGTCATCTAGGATTTTGTACCAGTGCTTGACCTGGATTTGTTGGCTTAGACTGGTGACTCATAACTTGATAGGCTGACAAAAGATAATATCTGACAATGGATATTAATAATTTTGCGACTTCCTTTAGCCTCCTTTATCTTTTATTGCCAAAAACTTGAAGATGTGTTTATGACGATATTAATCTTTATAGACTAAAAAAAAAAAAACACTTGACCTTGCCTGACCTGACTTCTTCGGCGCAGACTTCAGTCATGTGTGCATTGCTAGGATAAGCTATTTGGGACCTGATACTTGTGACCAAACCAGCGATTGTCAGTATCCATGTAGGGTCAGTGACTTGTTAACTCACAAAGCTTTAATTTGTGTGAAGATGGAAGTTGGAGGGTGGAGAGAGAGAGAGTGAATGAACGAGTGAACAAGTTTAAGTTGAGTGGTCACCCATGGACAGAAGTGTGATAGATATTGGTGCTTCTTGCTGTGCTTTCTCATCAGCTGTCATCAGCAACCTCCCAAGTATTCTTATTAATAAGTACTAATGAAGGTGTAAATCAAATTTCTATACTCTGTAATTTAAATTATTCCTTTATTATAATGAATGATTCTGCTATTTCTCAATATAAAAACTGTCCATGAGTTAGGGTGACATTGTGCAGCTGATAATACCTGTCTATTGGCTGATCTCTGCCGGGATGAGTGGCCAAACAGGTGACCACCTCGTTTCTTTGCTGACAACCCGACTTCCGGAATTCCATATGAGGTCTCTCGCACAACCAGATCACTCGGCCATGACTTGGTGTAACCTTTCTGTTGTTACTTTGGAAATAGCTAAACGTAATGTAATTATTTTAGTGTCTCAACTCAACAAGAGTAGGTGGTCAAACTAGCCACAGGTTGGGCACAATGAAGTTTCGAGTAGCAAACACAAATTAAGGTTCTTGTGTAGTAAATATTGAGGAGATGAGCAGCTCTAGACCTGAGAAAAGGTTTAATTTTTAAGAAAACATTTGCCTAGCTTTGCAAAGCAAATCACACATTACAAAAGGACTGGTACATTGTGGCAGTGAGAACACCTGTAGCAGGTTCTTTGACAGAATGTGCAGCGAGTGCTGCTGTCTAACACATGCACATGTCTAACACTTGTTATTGATTAATAACTAAAAATTTAAAAAGTTTTCAGTGATGGGTCAAAAACAATTGTAATTATAGAAGCAACTAGGAACATTCCATTTAATGTGAAGAGAGGTTAGACTTGCTCTCTCCTCTTAAGAGTCGTGATCAGCTGTGTTGTGTTGCAAAGCAAAACTGGCTTGCATTTAAGCTGGATTAAACCTTGAACATAGGACCTGCAGACCCATAACTATGCTTATGGTCAAAGTTCTTGGGTAAAACTTGTAGAATTTTGCTGGAAGTATGAGAGTTGTGTATGTTAGGTAATTGTTTGGGTTTGATTGCAGCTTGTATCGGCTAATTTTTATCAGCTCAATTGTGAATATATCCGTAAGTAGACCAAGGTAAAGGAACACGAGTCACACCTTTGTTTGCTTTGCTAAATTTGATAAGTTACTGGAAAAAGAAAAAATATTTCGTCGAATTAGACTGTGCCTTGCTATGGATAAATGAAAACTGTGTTGCTTTGTTTTATTTTTTTTTTCCAAATTGGCATGATTTGTAATTACATAATAATCATTCTGGAAAATAAATTTACTTTTGTACCCCCAATTGGCTTTTGGTATTTTTTGAATTCCATTTTTGTTTGCTTTGAAAATTGCATTTCCTTTATCATAACAGGACTGCAATAATCATGTTCAAAAAGTCAAAATTTTGAAATATGCCGATCTAAAAATAAATCTTAATTGTGTTTATGCATGTGTTGATGATGTAACTGTGAATTATTGAGTGACTTCTTTGTTGTTATTGAGAATGACAAGCTATATATCATGACCTACTTTCCAACAGAAGGAACACAAGAACATTTCCATATCGGTAACTACCTGACAGGTGAATGATGGTGAATATGAATTTAGAGATAGATTGGCTGAGTGCCTGTCTGATGAGCATAAATAATTTTGTTGGGATATGGGACAAAATGTGGTATATAATATATGTGTATATATATATATATGTATATATATATATGTATGTGTGTATATATATATATATATATATATATATATATATATATATATATATATATATATATATATATATACACATATTATATATGTATATATACACATATTATATATGTATATATACACATATTATATACATATATATGTATATATATTTATTATATTATATATACACACACAATATATAATATATATAATTTTATGAAATATGACAGTGTGAGATCAATGATTCTACTATGAATCTAATCTATATAGTAATTGTAAAATGAACTTAGAAGTTGAAAAATTAGCTCTTCAAAGTTGATCTTGAGAGAGAGAGTATTTGTGCTAGAATCATTGATCTTGCGCTTTGTCGTATTATATATATATATATATATATATATATATATATATATATATATATATATATATATAATATAATGGTTAGAATGTCAATCTAAAATTGCTGCAGTGAGGAAAAGTATTACTATACAATAATAAATCTGGGTGGCATAAATTACTGTGACCATGAGTGTTGCAGTAATGTTGACGGACGGAACAGCAGCACGACACTGGTAAGAGCGCGCTCTTGGCTAGTTCAAGTACAAAATGGGGCATTACGAGCAGAGATATTGAGCAAAAGTTGTAACCAACTTGGCAACTCGCTTTCCTCTCGCACATACCCAAGCACTCGACAGATAACTCGATTCTTTTGCACACACACAAACATTCAATGTTCTCTTTTTCCCTTTTACTATGATTGCTTATATTATACAGTAGTTTACCTAAACATCTTATTACCGACTCCATTATTTTTTTTTATACCTTCGTATTCATGCATGTTTAACATCAAAGATATTTTTTTTATAGATATTGACAGATTTTTGCTATCACAATCTTTACATTCTTGGAGTTGGTTGCTTTTTCCTAAGTGTCTATGCAGGTTAATTATTATGATAGTCATTACAATAATCATACAAACTCAAAGCTTCAATATTGTATATAGATATTCAAAATATCCATTCCTAAAGCATGGCCAATCTGCTTTAATTTTAAGCATATAAATAGGTAGCTAATCTAATCAGCCATACAGAACATCATTCATCATTTCCATGAGTTCTTGTACACAGTTGCTTTCATTTTTTGTTTACTAATGTGTCTGATTGTTTGATGTCCTGAAAATGATGAATGACTTGCTCTTGTTTCTTCGCTGTTTTGTTATATTTAAGTTTATTTCCAGACTTTGTCTTCCCGACAAAGCAAAAAGGTGCATATCCCAGTGAGTAAGTTTAAGGAGGATAGTTACTAGGAGTTTATTGTCCAATAATAAGGTCGCCTAAGGAAGAAAAACTTGCGTGATTCAAAGATTTAGTAATAAAATATAAATAATGTAAGGATTTAAAGTTACTATGGATGAAAAGTTACTCCATTGCCACTATTTCAAAATACCAATTAAAGTACTTTGAAATCATGGCAGATAATATTTGTAGGAAAACAGTTACTAATAATATTTAAATGCATTATTGTCATCATCACAAAACATTTAAAAGTGAATTTTAGACGTTTTGAAAAGAGGACATTTACAGTAAAGATTATTATTACAAGGAAACAGGTCAAATTAGTCTTGTGATTGTGTCTGTTCCCAACCAACCTGCACATACACTATAACTCTAATTAACGTCTGTGGTATGGTTGTACAGTTGCTGTAGGATTGTGTATGGTGGGGTGTTGTCTGCTGAAGGCTTCTAAGATTTTGCAGTTCCTAAAGATGCTGCCTCGCCAAGATATGTGGTGGGGATTGTGAGATATGGTGTTTTGTGAATCGTGTGTGAGAGGCTGTGTTTTGGGGAGTGTAAGAGAAATGGATGTTGTTCTGATAGCCAGAAATGGTGTTCTGGGAAGCATGAGAGGTGGTATATTGGGAAGCGAGAGATGATTTTCCAGGGAGCACGAGGAATGGTGTTCAGGGGAGTGCGAGCGAGAGGCGGTGTTTCTGGGGCGAGCGAGCGAGAGGCGGTGTTCAGGGGAGTGCGAGCGAGAGGCGGTGTTCAGGGGAGTGCGAGCGAGAGGCGGTGTTTCTGGGGCGAGCGAGCAAGAAGCGGTGTTTCTGGGGAGAGCGAGCGAGCGAGAGGCGGTGTTTCTGGGGGGAGCGAGCAAGCGAGAGGCGGTGTTTCTGGGGGGAGCGAGCAAGCGAGCGAGAGGCGGTGTTTCTGGGGGGAGCGAGCAAGCGAGCGAGAGGCGGTGTTTCTGGGGGGAGCGAGTAAGCGAGCGAGAGGCGGTGTTTCTGGGGGGAGCGAGCAAGCGAGCGAGAGGCGGTGTTTCTGGGGAGAGCGAGCAAGCGAGCGAGAGGCGGTGTTTCTGGGGAGAGCGAGCAAGCGAGCGAGAGGCGGTGTTTCTGGGGAGAGCGAGCAAGCGAGCGAGAGGCGGTGTTTCTGGGGAGAGCGAGCAAGCGAGCGAGAGGCGGTGTTTCTGGGGAGAGCGAGCAAGCGAGCGAGAGGCGGTGTTTCTGGGGAGAGCGAGCAAGCGAGCGAGAGGCGGTGTTTCTGGGGAGAGCGAGCAAGCGAGCGAGAGGCGGTGTTTCTGGGGAGAGCGAGCAAGCGAGCGAGAGGCGGTGTTTCTGGGGAGAGCGAGCAAGCGAGCGAGAGGCGGTGTTTCTGGGGAGAGCGAGCAAGCGAGCGAGAGGCGGTGTTTCTGGGGAGAGCGAGCAAGCGAGCGAGAGGCGGTGTTTCTGGGGAGAGCGAGCAAGCGAGCGAGAGGCGGTGTTTCTGGGGAGAGCGAGCAAGCGAGCGAGAGGCGGTGTTTCTGGGGAGAGCGAGCAAGCGAGCGAGAGGCGGTGTTTCTGGGGAGAGCGAGCAAGCGAGCGAGAGGCGGTGTTTCTGGGGAGAGCGAGCAAGCGAGCGAGAGGCGGTGTTTCTGGGGAGAGCGAGCAAGCGAGCGAGAGGCGGTGTTTCTGGGGAGAGCGAGCAAGCGAGCGAGAGGCGGTGTTTCTGGGGAGAGCGAGCAAGCGAGCGAGAGGCGGTGTTTCTGGGGAGAGCGAGCAAGCGAGCGAGAGGCGGTGTTTCTGGGGAGAGCGAGCAAGCGAGCGAGAGGCGGTGTTTCTGGGGAGAGCGAGCAAGCGAGCGAGAGGCGGTGTTTCTGGGGAGAGCGAGCAAGCGAGCGAGAGGCGGTGTTTCTGGGGAGAGCGAGCAAGCGAGCGAGAGGCGGTGTTTCTGGGGAGAGCGAGCAAGCGAGCGAGAGGCGGTGTTTCTGGGGAGAGCGAGCAAGCGAGCGAGAGGCGGTGTTTCTGGGGAGAGCGAGCGAGCGAGAGGCGGTGTTTCTGGGGTGAGCGAGCGAGCGAGAGGCGGTGTTCTTGGGCGAACGAGCGAGAGGCGGTGTTCTGGGGAGAACGAGCGAGAGGCGGTGTTCTGGGGAGTGAGAGACGGTGTCATGAATGAAAGGGAAGGGAGATGGAAGGACAGATCATTAAATTCAGAAGAGATTCATGAATATATGCTAATATGATACACTGGAAAAGCCAATTAGAAAGGAAAGTAATGTTGTAGTGAGGAGAGGAGCTAGAGACAAAGGCCAAGAAATGGAAAATATCATTTGGGGGTGGGGGGAGGGGGAGAGAAAAGATGAGAAGTCAGGAGTAGAGACAGAGACAAACGAAAAGTAAATAAAGTTGGAAATGGGAGAAGAATGAAGGATGGCGATCCAAGACCTAAAGATTCGATCAAAATCAAAGGAAGGTGGGAAAAGCCGAAGTTAGGAGAAGAGCAAGAGACAAAGGAAATGTTTTAAAGTGTATATGGGTATATATAGTGAGCGAGGGTGGAGGCTGACAAGGAAGGTACAGTAACACTACTGATGCCTTCGAGGACGTATGTATAGATAGACCGTGTACTTTATGCTGGATTGTCAGTAACGTTTCCCTGACAGGCTGTGCTGTACATAAGAAGCTCGTTAACAATTTTTCTATTGAACATCACTAAACCTAAATGCCACTTTTCATAGTGTCAATGAAAGAGACTTTTCTGAACAATTATTCCTGGAATCAAAGACACACACAGAACACAGATACCAGATAAATAAACAAGACTCAAACTCTAGCCAACAATCCAAGATGATTAAAATAGAATACATTATCTTTACACTTATTATTTTGTAATACTGAATATCAATGTTAATTACAGCCTTGCAATGGCTTGATTCTAAATGGGTTATATCCTAATATATTACCCCTATTAAATTCTTCATTTCTAAAGCCCTTTTGTGAATTAATCCCTGTATCAATAAGGTGTAACACTTCATTCTACACCAGTAATTCCTCCCTGAAAAGCAGTACAGGTTTGCCAGTATGGTGCACCATACTTTCTTCTATATAAAACCATAAATTCCAGTAACCAGAGTTTTTATTGTGGGTGAGAGATACATTAAAGTAACTTGCAACTTACTTTAACTTTAAAGTAAGAGAGATACAATTTAAAGTTTAAAACTGGGGGCGAAAGATACTATGTAATGGGGCAAATTTGTAAGTTAATCTCTCAAAAAATTATTTATAAATTTGATATTGACAAGATGCTGAGGGCAACCAAGTAGAGATGATTAAGACTGGTTAAGGGCAGAGAACAATAGAAAGAAGAAATTAAGATATACTGTACCTGGTAATGCAACAAACACATATGAAGATGGAGTAAAAGGGTATTAAATGAAAACTAATAGGAAGAAAAGAATTGGAAAAACAGTGCTAGGCTAATAACAAACTGGCATATTGGAGGATGCACTGCCAGCGGCATAGGAAAGACGTGAAAGCTAATCTTGATGATGTGTCTTGGAGAACAAATAACTTTACAGGAATCGGTAACAGAAGAATAACAAGTTAAATCATTATAAGTTTTTAAAAAAGACGTATTCTCTTAAAATCAAATTCTTTGAATTTTTGGCTATTCCGTGTATGTAAAAAAAAAATTGAAAAATTATATTTAAAATTATAATATAAGGATAATTACCAATGTTTTAACATGCTGCAAAAGGGAGTAAAAGAAAATAAGAAGTGCACAAGATAATGACAATTATTGTTATACCCAAAACTTAAATATAGCCTTGTCAATGATCAATGGGTGTTAAGTCTTGAAGTAAACTTATAAAAATTGCAGTGAACACAGTGAAAAACTAGCAATAACTATGGAACAACAATAAATTGGCAATATGTATTGAATACAAGCATGAACAGATCATAGGTATATAGTGATAAATAAGTGAAATATATATACAGCTTATATATTTGAGCCCCACAATGGTTAACTGGCAATAGGTACTAAACACAAAGGTCCACAAATGACAGGTACTGAACTTAACAGTAAGCAGACATTTGGCAAGGCATAATACTGTAGTAAACGGCTGATGAATTTTGAATTCAATCAAATGGTCACAGGTATTGAATAAAATGGTAAACAGGGATAGGTATTAAACTGTGGTAAACTGATTATATTGAGCACACAAGTTAACTGTTGGTGGGTACTGATCACAATGGCAAACTTCCTGTACATTTATATTGAGCAAAACTTTAATCTGGTTATTATTTAAGCAATTACAACAGTGAAAAGCTGGCGATAGGTATTAAACACAACTGGATGATTTAATTGAACTAGAGATTGTATGGCTCGAGACATTTTTTTTTTTATTAATCCAAGATTAAACAAATCTGTGTTCTGGACTTAATTTTAAAACTTTCTTGAATTCCCACTGTGTTTATAGTTCAGCTTGTCATCTGCTACTTCCTTGTAATACTGTGTATATAATTACCCATTAGTGCTTCCTCTTTGCTACTTTTCTTTGGCACTGGGAGGGATAGCTTGTTTTTCGTTGCATGTTTTATTTACAATTATTATATTTTTGTAAATCACTAATGCTTGGAGGCAAGCAAGCACTGCAATGCATTAAGCAGTGTTCTTTGTTGTTTGAGTAGTTGAAAAATGGAAGTTCTGTTCACTTTTTTTTCTGAAATTAATTAAAAATGTAATGGATTTTTTTTATAGAGGGAAGGACTGGATTGTCAAACCGCAAAGGGCACTAAATGATTAACTATGGTTTATAAGATATTAGCATAAGAGAAGGAATTAATTCTTTGAAAAGAGGGAGTTTGAAGTAACATAAAAGTAAATAAATAAAGAATAAAGGAGATGGATAATGTGCTTGACCAGCAAATTTTACTTAGCGAGAAAACATAGAAACCAGTTCTTCGTTCTTTACAACTACAGTATAGTCTAATGTAGGAGATAGTTTATAATTTTAGCAAAGCCAGTGTAGTAATATGTAACTTCACGTTTTAAGGCCAGTTTAGCTTTTAATCGGCATCTCAAAGCTACTCTAGATATTCTTGGAAAATCTACCCTCTTGTGTTCCAGATTGAGACTTCAGAGTTGTAGTTTTTTCTTGCAGTCTGAAAATGGCGGAAAGAAAGAGGCTGAGTGAGCTGTTAAGTCTTTCCAGGAGATAGGTTGAGGTAGAATCAGTTTTTGGTAATAGTATCCCAAATTTCAAGGAAATTTACAGAGAGGACAGTGTTATCCGTCCACAGTAAGTGATGTTGAAAATGCAAACTAAACGACGACATATGTTGACCGAGTGATTTACCACTTGGTCTGAATTTTTTTTTTTTGGCATGTATTCTCATTTCTTTTATTTTGTTTCCTTTCTCATGTTGACTTATTGTGACAATTGCATATCATTCAAAAGCCTATCACTGAATATTTTGTTTTCCTTAGAAATAATCAATTGTTTAGTTCCTTCTTGAATGTCCACCTATTTGATTCTTTCTTGCACAACCACCAATTTCATTTCTTCTTGAATACCCACCAATCTGATTCATTCTTAAATACCCATCAATCTGATTCATTCTTAAATACCCACCAATCTGATTCATTCTTGAATACTCACCAATCTGATTCATTCTTGAATACCCACCAATCTGATTCCTTCTCGAATCCCCACCAATTTGATTCCTTCTCGAATCCCCACCAATTTGATTCCTTCTCGAATCCCCACCAATTTGATTCCTTCTCGAATCCCCACCAATTTGATTCCTTCTCGAATCCCCACCAATTTGATTCATTCTCGAATCCCCACCAATTTGATTCCTTCTCGAATCCCCACCAATTTGATTCCTTCTCGAATCCCCACCAATTTGATTCCTTCTCGAATCTCCACCAATTTGATTCATTCTTGAATACCCACCAACTTGATTCATTCTTGTATGATCATCAATTTGGTTCCGTCTTGAATGCCCATCAGTTTGGTTCTTTCTTGAATGCCCTCCAAGTGGATTACTTCCTGAATTTACCACTAATTGAACTTCTTATTGAATACCCACCAATATGATTCCTTTTTGAATGTCTACCAGTTGGATTCCTTCTTGAATGCTCACCTATTTGATAACTTTGTGAATACTAAACCCACATTTTCCCATAGTTTTCAATATCTTTTCCCACCAATCTTATTTAAGTTTGAAAAAATGTGCCCACCAACTTTATTTTTTTTTTCTGAACTCAGCTACCAACTTGATCCTAATTTATTTTACATCATATTTTCCAAAACTTTTATTTCCTTTCCTAAATGTTTCTAGTAATTTGCTCTGACATTCACGTACCCCACCAATTTGACTTGGTCACCACCGATTTGTCCTTGTTGTTTCTTCACAGGACCAACCAATTTTATCAGCGAATTCTTGCCAAGGTGTACTCGAGATTACCATTTTTCTCACCAAGCCCCTACATTATAACCTCCTTTAATTCTTCTCTATATCTTGCGTACTGTCATCCCGCCAGTGTAAATAGTGTAGCTATAGTTCTTGGTGCATTCACCTATGTTTGAGACCGAGACATAACCCCTGTGATAGGCCCCATATCGTATGGACCAATAATACATAATATCCTAATACATATTCCGCCCTACTATATTCGCAACACTTTGTTTTTTCATGATAGTCTTGTTAACACAGTGTACACTCCCATGTGCCAAATTGGGTAATTTTTCTTTATGTGAAGCATTACTTAAAAGGAAAAGGGTATGAATTGTCATAAATGTCAAATTTTGTCTTGTTATATAGTTTGAAGCGTGAACGTATCAGTGTGTCTTGGTATTATATTTTATACAAGTACATTATTTTATCCTTTAATATAGCAAAGCATTTTATTCTTTCAACACATTATTAGTGAGTCACATTATTATTAGTTACTCCTTGCAACCATTTACGCAATAGCTAGACAGGTGGGGCGCTACTTGGAGTCAGTGTGTGTATAGGTGTATGTAAAGCTAATGTGGCGCAGCAATGGGAAAGGTATTCAGGAGAGCACTGTGTATTGTATGTGCGTGTGCGTCTTGTGTACAACCTTTCAGGGTGTAGCTCGTTAACCGTATTTCTGTGCATATTCTCGTTTCAAGTTGT